TTTTGTTTGTTTCATCGTTTACGACCACCGTTAAAGCAACTGTAAAGGTGGAGAACAGCAATTAAAAGTGTGTGCCTTGAATAGATATATTAGTTATTAAATAATGCTGAAAGATATTTTTGTCTAATATTTCCATCAAAAATCTTTATCTTTCCAGATAAACTATATCGAAAGAATTCAAATATTCTTATTTGCATTTGATTAATGATTACTGCTGCATATAGCTATCAGGAATCTAATTGTTTGCTGTGATACGACATATGCATAAGCAATTCTGTTAAATGAAATACTTGTAAAGTACATGTTCCCTTAATTTTCTCTTACATTTTATACTTATTAGTATTCTGCAAGCTATGATTTTAAAGCCTTTACAAATGTTGCAATACGCTTTAATGAGTTCTATGAATAAATCGTGAACAATATTATAACCAATAACTGTAGATTTATCAAAATATTATAATTGTCTGATTTGAAAGTCTCTAGTGAATCTTATGGAAACGAAACGTGTGTCTAGCGTACTAATTTATAAGCCTGGTACATTTATCTACGCCGATTTTTATCTGAATTTGCAAAATAATGTTTGTTTGTTTAATTCAAAGGGAACTCTGTTGTATGGTGACTTATTCGCGCGCGATAAATGATATGAAATTCCTTGAAAGAACATATTATCAAGACTGATTCACTTACTCATTGAATAATTCATTATGAATCTAAGTATATCCTGATCTCCAATTAACCTGTTGATTATTTTGTTTTAGACCATTCGAAAAAACATGTTGGTCAAAAAATGTCAAACATTCGACATTTTTCGAATGTATTAATATTTTTGCTAAAATGTCTCATAAATGACACAACAGTCATGTTTAATACACAAAATGATAGAAATGTCTTTAAATTTGTACATATAGAAAGGCATATTTAATTTTTTTTAAAATAGGAATAATAATAAACCTTATGTGGATTTAGCTTTCCTCTTTAGGTGCCCTTTTGCGAATTCTATGCGACTATCATACAAGTCAGAGGTTTAGCTAGCTATTTACCAGGTTTAATCCACCATTTTCTACATAAGGTAATGCCTGTACCAAGTCAGGAATATAACAGTTGTTTTCCATTTGTTTGATGTGTTTGAGCTTTTGATTTTGTCATTTGATAATGGACTTTCTGTTTTGAATTTTTCTTGGAGTTCAGTATTTTTGTTATTTTACTTGTTTGGTAATATAGCTCCTAAAAATATTGTTGTTTAAGTATTTATTCATTCTTGGCTTTATTGGTTTGGTCTGAATCTCCTGATACATGTTTATTCAGTTTAGTGCTTTAGGCGCACCAAATTTATGAAGTGTATGTTTATTCATTATACATCATATAATCAGGCATAGGGAAATCGTAATCAATAATCGCAATTACATGTAGCTGTAATCGATTACATTTTGTAATGTAATACCACGTAATCAGTAATCATGAATTTTTTGTATTACAAGTAATCGTAATTTATTCGATTACAATGTAACAAACCGGTGTAATCATGATTATACTGTTTCCGATTTTTTGTATTACTGAATTATAAAAGACATATAATCCAGTAATACAAAAAATCGGAAATTTCTTATATTAAGAATTGATATAGAACACCCACTTATACTGAAGTAATGAAGATTGATGAGCTATCGATTGATCCAAAACAATTACTTTTTACAAGATTTAGAGAGAAAAAAACATGTTAACTGTCATCATTATAATTATAAAACAATAATACTTCTGAACAGAATTCTACGATAGCTCAATTCTATCTTAAGCCAGATTTGCCTCAATGTTTTGTAATTTGTTTTAAAGTTTGTTCAATTTTTGAATTTAGTTTAGTATTCCAAATGTTATGATTTTGTCACGGAAGGGTTACACGTAGGCGACGAATGCACGTTTGGCATACTAAATTACGAGTCTGTTTTCCTTGAATTTTTACTAACAGTTGTGTAAAAATAACAGAGCAAAAATCAATAATTCTAACAGGAACGACTGTTCATGTGCTCAAGTTTAATGATTATACTGATGTATTAAACTCTGTCTAATCTTATATTTAAGTAGCTTTTGAACATTTTTTATTACATTAACATGGTTTTTACCTACTAAATACAGTACGTTATTGAACGCTTACTATAACAAAAAAATATCCGGACTCAAACTGTTTATATTTCTTACTAATTGTATCACTATATGCAATAGGATTAGAAGCTCAAAATAATTATTGACAGAATTTAGCACCTTTCGGATCACGAAAGTTTTAATATGATTTAATTGTGTTTTTCTCTCTCACTATTTTGTGGTATTTCTTGTTCCTTTCGTCGTAATGTGGTAATATGGAATTTGACGCCAAAATAATTATTGACCGAATTTGGCACTTAAAGTAAGTACCTTTCGGATAAAAGAGAGTTTCAATAGGATTCAATTGTGTTTTTCTCTCTCACTATTTTGTGGTATTCCTTGTTCCTTTCGTCGTCTTGTGTTAATGATAAGATGTAGTTGACAGTTCAAAACGACGATAGGGAGTATCGTTCAAAAACGACGAAAGGTATTATCGTTCAAAAACGACGATAGGGAGTATCGTTCAAAAACGACGATAGGGAGTATCGTTCAAAAACGACGAAAGGTATTATCGTTCAAAAACGACGATAGGGAGTATCGTTCAAAAACGACGAAAGGTATTATCGTTCAAAAACGACGATAGGGAGTATCGTTCAAAAACGACGAAAGGTATTATCGTTCAAAAACGACGATAGGGAGTATCGTTCAAAAACGACGAAAGGTATTATCGTTATGATAAATGGATCAATTTTTGATAATTTATTTCTTAACGGCCCTTTTAGGACAGCGATATATTTGTCTCTTCCTAAAAAAGATGATTGAACAAGGTTTAACTAATTCTTTTTATCAATCTCGGTTTAGAATGAGAATGATACTAGTGTTAATGTTTGAAATTAAAACGTTCAAATACTATCCCATACGGAGGGGGACTTTGATTGAGTATAAAATTGAGAATGGAAACGGGGAATGCATCAAAAAGACAACAACCCGACCAAAGAGCAGAAAACAGCCCAAGGTCACCAATGGGTCTTCAACATAGCGAGAAAATCCGTCTCCCGGAGGCGGGCTCCAGCTAGCCCCTAAATAATATTGTATACTACTCTACTTAACCTTCCTTTTAATATGTTTAACATCATATCATAATTAACTGATGTTCAAAACTCGTAGAATCATTTTAAATATAAAAGCCAAAAGATAGAACCCGAGGAATCGAATCTTCAAATGTAGTGAGACCGGTTGCGCTGACAGGATAAGTATCTCTTGCTTTACATGTTCCATCCGTCATGCGAATGCAGACTTAGTAAAAAATGTCCAGCTAGGTGAACTTTCAATGAGATCTGTATGCTTTTGTTTTCGTCTTAATAATGAGTTAGCCGCTTTCATCCAAATAAGATGTGAAATGTTAGGACATGCTTGTGTGATAGACGTTTACTGTATGGTTCAATATTAGTTTTTAAAACGATTAACTTTCGTTTTGTTCAATCACGTCTATTGCTAAGTATTAGCTATTTACCAAGATGTAGATAATGAAGTTGGTCTGATAAAAACCAGATATTATTCAATGTGCAAACTTTTGTTAAAACAATTTGCAAAATGGATCTTTCAAGGTTGTTTAAAATAAAGTGCATTATTGATTCAATGTGTGGTAAGACAGTTGCACAGATTTTTTTAGAATTCCTTTGTAAAAGAAAACATACAAGTGCATACCGTTTCTAATCATTTCAATATCTTGTATTTATAGTCTATTTTGTGCGCATGTTGTTTTGCGTATAATTCAAAAGAGTAATTTACTTTGAAATTACAGTATGATAACACGAAGGTTTGTAATCGGTAAAATTTCACTATCGATTTGATTTAGGTCAGGAATTTCTAATTATCATTTATAAGTGATTTTCTGATACGAAAAGAGTATCAATTCTTTTCACCTAACTAATTAAATAAATTCATTAAAACTAAATTTCATTCATTTTTTCATTTGTGCTGCAGTATTACATCTTCTACAAGAGTTCTAATATTTTGTGAGATTTAAACATCGGTAAACTAGTGTTGTCTTAATTCAAAAAAGATTAAATACAGGATTCTTTTAATAGTATCATGAATGTAACCAATAACTATTTACTGGCTTTTTGTTAAAAAAGATTCAAAATTTATACCGATTTGATTTCAACCTGCCCATTATATTTTAATAACTTGATAAAATCTAAAACGTTCAAAAAGTTACAATGTAAAATTGATTGGGATTTGAAGATATGATTTCAAATGAAATTCTTCGGAAATTCAATGTGTAATCGCCATTTGAAAATGCGCCATCGATGTATTTTGCAGCTGTCTGTGCATTTTCCTGTAACTATTAAGTTTTGAATAAAAGTCAATTTTTTTTAACATTGAATTAGATGGCTTTGATTTATATACTTGTACTAGTGTAGAGCATAAGACAGATTAACGGTTTATAAGACATTCTAAATATTACAATTTTAGTACAAATGAAGATCCAATTGCTTTTTATAAAATTCATTAGACAATTTCTTCTTTTCAAATTTTCCAGTTCTGTAACTTCTATTACAGAACAATTACGTTTTATTATATTTTGAATAAAATAATGATCTTTTCACATATTTTGTTCAATGAAATACTGCATGTTCAATTAATAAATCCAGCAAAGCTATTTTAATATGCATTTACCACAGCAAATAACATTAACGGTACCAAAGCTTTTAAATCAATTCCCAATAGTTTTATTAATTTTCATTCATGTTTCCTTAATCATAAAACTCTCCATCCTACACTCTCTGCTTGATAATAACAAAATAATGATCAGTGAACGGTTTTAAATCTCTTTAACAGTAGTTCCGTAGTACCGATGAGCTCAGATTCATCATCACATGTAAAACCTCCTGGTGTCATTGATACGATATATTACAGATTTGTTTTAGTATCACCCTGTAAGATAAGGGCGTTACAATTCGACCTGCCAATCAGACAAATTGTTAACAGTTCATTACAGACTTCCTGCAAATGGACATTATTAGGAAGATTTCTCGTAAGTTAGCATGTTGACGGTTGAACTCGCTGTATTATCGTATTGACTGACATATCGATTTGAGAAAATAACTGTTCTGTGTTAAATAAAGGATAAGAATGTAACTTCTCTTCATTCACAAACTTTTATGGTTGGCAGTCACTACTAACTTTAATTGATTTTTACCATACCTGCATTTAACATTATACCTTCGCATACATTTCAAATGAGAATTAATAAGTACTTATTTGTAATTTGAAATGTAAAAGCACTTGCAAACAGGATAGTGTTATTATATAAACAATACACATTGGTCAATTTTGTAAAATAAAGAAAATGACTGCACAAGAAGATCCGTTCGATTTATTTTCATATCATATGCCAGAGGTATCACGCTGGAACATTTCCGGTGGGTTTGATTCAAAAAGACCATACTCTTCTTGTACGGAAAATGGCATCTGTAACTGGGATATAAACTCCACGGATGGTAAAACTCACATTGTGAACCATTTCAATGGTTCAATTCCGCCGCTTCCGCGTGAAATGACATTTAATGATGACAGTGTTCTTTCCGTGATTGCATATTCTTGTCTTTTTGTGATCGCTGCTACCGGAAACTTGACCGTTCTGATAACTTTGTTAAGGAGTCGGACTATTAAATCACGTGTAAACACCTATATTATGCACCTCTCTATCGCCGACCTAATTGTTGCCTTTGTTATGTTGCCTTTAGAAACCGTATGGAATATCACCGTTTCATGGGAGGCAGGTGACGCTGCATGTCGAATCTTAATGTTTTTTCGTGCCCTTGGATTTTATTTATCTTCCTTTATCTTGGTGACGATAAGTCTTGACAGATATTTTTCAATAGTGCACCCTATGAGTATCCATGATGCTGAACGCCGGGGCAAATTAATGATATCCTTAGCTTGGGCTCTTAGTGTGATTGCTAGTCTTCCACAGGTAAGTCAACGTTTTTGTTTACTAGTTTGGAGGAAGGATATTTTTCGGTTTGTAGTTGAAGCGATTATTTCGAAGAAATTCGGGATTTACCCGGTAAACGTACGGAGTTTTAGATTATGATATAAGAATAAACAGGAATTTTTGTCATATCTATTTCGGGATTTTTTTTTTATTTCTCGGAGTCTCTTTCTCTTATAGATAACATATTTTTAAGTATCAATCAACGCAAAAAAAAATAAATCTAACTGTAAATATTTTCATAAGTGTTATGAAGGGCCATTCGGGTCACAATGCAACTTTTTACACGTTTTTGTTTACTAGCTAGGAGAAAGGATATTTTTCGGTTTTGAAGTTGAAGCGATTATAAAGCGATTATTTCGAAGAAATTCGTGATTTACCCGGTAAACGTATGGAGTTTTAGATTATGATATAAGAATAAACAGGGATTTTTTGGCATGAACACTTTTTGTCATATCTATTTCGGGATTTTTTTTATTTTTTTTTTTATTCCTCGGGATCTTTGTAGAAAACATACTTTTAAGTATAAATCAACGCTAAAAAAAAAAAAAAAAAAAAATGAATCTAAACGTAAATATTTTCAAAAGTGTTATGAAGGGCCATTCGGGTCACAATGCAACTTTTTACACGTTCGCTAGAGAAACGAGTTGTAGAATGTTCGCGTAGTTCTAGAGCCATGCGTCGCTGTTGGTTCCTGTAGGGAATGTGTATCATTCGAAAACCTATCATATTTATAACGGACTAATTGAATTATCTGGCCCTGCAACACTGTATCATAGATATGCAGTGCAATATAGCATATGTCTTGTTATATAATGATAACCTTGAAAGAACTTATGACAGCTTTTTATGACTTTTAAGGGCTGAATACAGTACTTATCTGACAAAGACACTGAATTTTCATTTGATATCATTTAAAAATCGCGTCGAGTTTTTAAATTCTCAGAACAGATGATTTCATTACAAATGTAAGGTCGTTTATACCGTGAACAACTTGAAACATGCAATAGTTGCAATGCGTTACTCTCAGTAACGCGAAGGAACTGTAACGCGTTATTCTATGCTACGTGAACTATGTGGTTTGCGTTGCTCTCGGGTACGCGAACCAACAGCAACGCGTTGCTTTAAGTTACGCGAATAAACTGCAACACGTTTATCTAGTCAATGTGTCAACAATTGCATTGTGACCCGAATGGCCCTTCATAGATTGATATGTACTGACGACTGTCTGCTGTGTTAAAACCAAGACATTCATAATGCCTTTAGTCATTTCCACAAGAGCATAAACAGGGTTGAAAAAAATCCTTGTTTGTGATTATTTTTAATTATTGTTGCGATATAAAATGATGAACAGTATAAAATACGGTTTGTATTACTTAACAACCTAATGTTTCGAAATTAGTTTTGATGAATGTGCTTATCTGATAAAAGTCAGTTTAAGGGATTGAAAGCGTGTGGATTTTAATACAATGTATTTTTACAGAAAACATAAAATGTATATGCATCGCTTGGTTTAAAAAAATAATGGTTGCATGTTAATCAAACAGTTTCACTTTATAGACATGTTGCATATACCTATTGAGACGCATATCCTTGTTATGTGGATAATGAAAATTATTGTTCATATTAATCAAAATATTGAATTTGTTTTCGAAAGTATCATGTTTCAGTAAGTCTATTTACAATCTAAAATGTGCAATCCTGTTTTTGCAATATGTTTTTTATTAAATAACTTTGAAATCAACAAGACAACTATTATTGAAAGAGTGAATAAAGTAATGAACATTTATTAATATTCTTACAATAACAAACTAAATTTATTTTACGCTAACGAACAACCTAAATGATAGGCATCGAGGGCAATTAAACAGATAGCAAATTTGTTTCGGAGTTCAAACACCAGGCTATATGAATTTTCAATTATTCCTTAATATACTTAAATGCTTATTTCATGAAGATTAACCTGACTTCTCAAAATAAGCGGATAAAATCGACCTTAGAATATGTAACGGTAATCTTCATACCAACATTATTTACAAACAGGACGCCTTTTCTTTTCCTATTGATACTTTTCCTTTCCTCAATGAAAATGATCCGTTTGCTTTTTCTTATGGCGCGTACATTTCTTATATGTTTCGACATGAACAAAATTCTACTGATATCTTAAATATTTTACAAGGATAAATATATCATAAATTGTAACGTAAATATAAGGATTAAGTTTAATGAATATTGAATTTAAAGTAAACACCCAGGTGTTATGGTAATATCTTTTATAAAGCTAACAAGTTTAGGAATGAACATTCATTTCTTTACAAAATTTGTTGTTGAAACAGAATTTAGATGGTCTTTGTTTCACTCATCATATTTTACTCGACTCTTGGCGATTCAACCTGAGATCAAGGGGCATGTTTATCGAAGCAGTCGTAGCACTAGAACATGACATTGCCAAAGCCTATCTAAGGACATATATTTTTCTTAAAAAATGAATACAACACGTTACAAATGTCCGAAGCGCTTTTCTGGATTTACCTTCATCAGGAACGTTAAAAGCCGAATATTTGAAAGCCAAGGGTGTATAAGAACCGAAACAGTTGCAGAGCTATATAACTAAAATGGGGCATAAAAAATAGCCAAATCCATCTAAGGTCAACTTTGCCTGAGGGAGTTGAATCCTTAGTTTCTTTATAATTTCAAAATTAATAAGCGGACAATTTTAGAAATATACGCTATTAATCATGTCAGTACCGAAGTTCGGGCTACTGAGTTGATGATACCCTCGGGGACTGACAGTCCACCAGCAGAGGTATCGACCCAGTGCCGTAAAAAATGAAAACAACACGTTAAAAATTTCATGCGTCCACAGCGCTTTTCTGGATTTACCTTCGTCAGGAATGCTCAAAGCCGATTTGAAAGCAAAGGATGTATAAGAGTCAAAAAGTTGAAGAGCTATATAACTAAAAGGACCTAAAAAATAGCCAAATCCATCTAAGGCCAAACTTGCCTGAGGGAGTTGAAACCTTATTTTTTGATAATTTCAAAATTTATAAGCGGACACTTTTAGAAAGGTTTGTTATAAATCATGTCAGTACCGAAGTACTGACTACTGAGCTGATGATACCCTCGGGGACTGACAGTCCACCAGCAGAGGTATCGACCCAGGGCTGTAAAAAATGAAAACAACACGTTAAAAATTGCATGCGTCCAAAGCGCTATCCTGAATTTGCCTTCATCAGGAACGCTCAAAGCCAAATATTTGAAAGCCAAGGATGTATAGGAACCGAAACAGTTGAAAAGCTATATAACTTAAAAGTGGCCTAAAAAATAGCCAAATCAATCTAAGGACAACTTTGCCTAAGTGGGTTTATCAAACAGATCCCAAATTAGTGTAAATATTATGTATTGTCCTGTGTTCAAGACATTAATTTAGGTTTGTTAAGAAAATTCTAATTTTAGGATATATTTTATGATGCTTAATTTGTATCTGAAAATCCCATGTTAGCACTATTGTTTGCCAAATTGGACAGTATAAAGAAAGTAAAGATTTATGCTATTCCACAGTATCCATTATAGTCCGTTGTTCGGAATCTGTAAAGTTAGCGTTGCTTCTTACGCTCATATTCACTCATTTATGTTTTTGTCTGTACTAAAGTAGTTTATCTAGTCTCAAGTTTCTTTAAATAGTGTCCCATTCTATGATTAGATTTTACGACATGCATAATTCCGTCTTTTAGTTGGTATTACAATTTTGAAAGTCTTTTCACTGAACCATGCTGCCAGGTTACTATACGATTGTAATATAAAGACTTTGACTAGTAGAGTCAATACTTGTCAATTGTTAAAGTTGTTGTCTAGCTGTCCTTTTATTTTTGGAGTCGTTTGGTTAATGTCTCATTGAATTACCCCACAACTTCTTTTAATGTATAATAAATATTTTTTTTAGTCACAATTGAATCAATTGGTATTAAATATACAATAACTGCTTCGGATAGACAAAGATTCAAAGATTAGTTTTTCCCGCCTGTAGATATCTTTCAGAAAAGTCATAAATATGTGATAGTAAGCTTGATAAATAGCAATTACTACTTTTTTATTTGAAAAAAAACTATAAAAGTGTATATCTGTTGGTTAAAGTTTGAAGATGTCTATCGTAATTTTGAGATGATACATGTAGATGCTGTAACCATAATGTCATTAATTGACTATGAATACTGAAGATTCATGAAGTCGATTATCCATGCACTGCTAAATTCTTTGTTTTAAACAGCGTAAATCACAAGGGATTTTGATTTTGTGCTTTTAAATGTTATAATAGTTGACAGGAAATAGATAATGAATGCTGCAGCTTCATAAAGTGGATTATCCACTACTGAATTCTTCGTTTTAAACAGTATAAATCACAAGGGATTTTGTCTCCAATGATTTTGTGCTTTTATATGTTATAAAAATTAACAAAAAATAAAAATTTGGAATTTTACATAAAAAAATACATATAACAGACGTTCATAAAAATGATTTAGTACATTAGTCAGTTTGCTGTGAACAATGACACCCAAGTATTTGGTAGAACTGAACTCTTACTGGCTTTTTAACACTTCATTAGATACAGTTATAATTGTATCGCCAGCTGTATTCCCGGGTTAGTTTTATTGTATTAGAATTGCCATTCATTTTCGCATGTCCAGAATTGTTTAGATGACTGTATGAACTAATTAGATTACATCAGATTCGTAGTCGCGAAATGGAGTTTATGGACACAGTGATAGGTTTGTCTGATCTTTATGCTAAACAAATTAACAAACACCTTACTTCAATTTTGCTGTTAAAGCAGCCAGTCACGGAATAGAATTTGTAAATCTTCTTGCAGATTACAAAAACACTCAAAAAAATACAAAGATTTTTGTCCTTAGTGTTCGGCGAATGAAATCGTCGGATCAACGTTTTATAAAAATAAGGTCATTAGTTGAACAACCATGCACGAG